ACATGGCGTACTTTCTTGTGTAGATGAACCAATTGCGAAATCAAAAGTCAGCTGAAGCAATCGATGAGATGTGGTCATTAGCGAATGGACCTAATGCCTTAGTGAACACATATTCGGGATGCATTTGTAAATGGTGTTCGATTCCATACTATTGACCGTGATAACCGTCGTAAGTGTCTAAATAGTGGGTTGGTAGTGGAAGGTGACCACCAAGGCCAATTGATAAAGTTCTACAGCTACCTTTGTAAAGTGTGGGAACTGACATATTTGTTTGGACATCGGGTTGTTTTGTTCCAATGAGAATGGTATAACACCCGTAGTAGTCGAACTTTGCAAGTCGAACCACATATGACAACTGTTGACGTAAGAAGTCGATGGTATAAAGATGACTCGTTTGTATTCCCAAGCCAAGTTCAACAAGCTTTCTATGTTCATGATACGAAGTTAGGGTTGAATTGGCGAGTCATGGAAAAGTTTCAACATCGACGAATTTGGGATGTGCCAGAGCTGGATGTGCCAGAATTTGATGAAGTGTTACAAGATGATGAAGCCAGTACTGTTGTACCAATGAGCCTATTGATGATGATGTTGTTTTGCGTCGGGATGACATTGAACCTGAAATTATTTCAATGGAAGTTTCTGTAACGCCCTCAAAATAAACCCATAATAACCATAACATTAACATGCATTTATAAAAGAAAACGAATCATTTGAGTTATTCATCAGAGTATTCTTATTGAAAGACATCACATGCAACATCCTGCAACATCAAAATAAATGCCCTGGGGGCTTACATCTTTCCAAGCTAGCACTTGGACACAAAAAGGATGAGTACTAACTCATTTACAAGTTAAGCCCTAGGCTTGAATGTTTACATGAAATCTCAAAAATAACAAAATAAAACATATAACTAAAGACAAGTCTTCAAAATCCCAAACATCAAATCCTTCCAGGCTAAGTCCGTGGAGGTAGCTTATCACCTGAACCTAAAAATGATGTTCCCATAAAGGGTGAGCCACAGCCCAGTAGAAAAATACTAAACCAAATATAAGCATTGAATAAAGCTATAGCACTCAATAGATGGTTAACCAAGATAATCAATTACATCATTATACAGTTTCATGACACTAATGTCAATGACACGTTTCACTTTTCTTTATTATCAATATGGCTCAGAACCTGGCCAAACTTACCACAGTGAACTATATATGTTATATTCACATTACTTCCAATATCAAACAAACAAATGAGACTCAGGCTCATATCAAAACACTTCATACTTCCCATTTGATACACATTTTAGTGCTGTATCAATAATCATGTAAAAACACTTCAATATAATAAGCACACATAAAAATGGTGCTAATGGAGTCCATCCCCTATCTCCTCCCAAACAAAAATCCGGTTTAGAGGTCCATCCCCTATCTTCCCCTAAACCGTGGAGTACATCCCCTATCTCCTCCCAAACAATATGCATATGCAATGCTCAATCAATACATGTAATTTCTGCATTAATTCAATAGTCTAAATTTATGACTTAACAAATTGATTAGTTTCAATTTCCCCTAATCCGAATGCAATGTCTACAACAAGCACAACTATCCTCTACCGATAGCCCAAAACAATTATTTCTAGACTGGAAATAAATATAACAACAATTCACTAGGCGAGTGGTTTAAATTATCCACTACCAATTTATCAGTAAATTCGCGCAATTTCATGGATTTAACCAAGATTTCCCATTTCCTTAAATTAATTACTAATCAACTTTAGGTCATTCCAATAGGGTTTTTTTTTCCCAAATTCTATACAAGTGTCCCAACCTATCAAAATACGAAACTTAGAAACATAAGCATATTAAAAAATGGAGTAGGAAATCCGTGTACCTCGAGGAATAACCGCGTATGGAGAAGATGGATGGAGATGAAGACAAAGACCACGTGCTCCAAATCCCCAAGTTTCTCAGATTAAAACGAGCTCAACGTCACGCTCTACTTTTTTAATAAGGATTAAGGTAGAAACTCACTCTAAGTAGATCAACTCTAAGAGAGAGGTGTGTCAGAGGGAGAGGAGAGATAAAAACCTCAGGGGCGGTTTTATAAAAAGTTATGAAAGGAAAAGTACGGTCGGAGATGATACCGAAGAAGTTTAGTAAAGGTAAAACGGAAGCATGGGGTAGCTAGTAGTGTGATAATAGACTCTACGCTCGAGCGTAGAAAGCCCCAGCTCGGCGTTAGTCGAAGACCGAATTCAGCTCAGAGCGTGAAGAAGATGTTCAGTGGGAGGTACGCTAAAGAGTTGACGGAGTTGCTACGTAGAGCTATGTGTTGATCTGTGATGTGGTAGATAGATAAGATAAGCGCTCGAGGTCAAACTCCCGCTCGGCGCGGAGAGCTCAAAAACAGGGATCAGTCGAGCGTAAAAACTACCGCTCGAGCGGAGAACTGCAAGAGCAAAAAAAACTAGGGAGATGGAAATCACGCTCGACGCGTCAAAATTCCCGCTCGAAGCGGAGTTTCAACAACGAAGGGCCGCTCGAGGTTAAAAACTAAATATGGGATTCACCTATTGGCATCTAAAATCAACCAACCTGTAACAGACCCGCCCAACCCAACCTATACTTCAAATACAAAGAGATTAAAGGACAACAACAACCAATAAGTAATGACAGGATCCACGGAACCTAAGTCCGGATACAATAATTTAAAGAGAAAAGACCGGGGTCGTTATAGTTTCTCAGTCCAATAAGCGTGTACAACCTGAGGGTGTTATGGATGATGCTTTCATCTGTGATGACGATGATGAACTAACAATCGCGGGTGATAACGAAGAAGAAAATGATATAGAAAGTGATTTTGATACAGATACGGACCTAGAGTTTTAACTCAGTTTGTTTCGTTGTCCGGCTTGTTTTGTTGATGTAATGGGGGGCAATTAAGAATATGATGAGTAGACTAGTTATGTCTTGATTCTTCTTCTTCTTCTTCTTGTTCGGACCCCAATTTCCCAAGTACATTCATATTCTATGAAGTTAATACCCTTGTAATTAATTTCCTCTACGATTTCTATGAACTTTGTTAGAAAAATGAAAATTGAAAATGGTAGGATGATTGGTTGGCTGAGTTGGGATGTTATGTTGATTGCTTAAATATATTCATGCTGCTCTGCTGATGCCTTGTTTTGTTGTCTTGTGTACTGCTGTTTGAGGAACTAGTAGTGTTTGTGTTTTACTTACCTATATGTGGTTTTGTTTATGTTGTTTATGTTGTTTATGTTTTTAGAAGAGCTTGTGTTTTGTGGGTTTGTTTAGGTAAGTGTGTGTGAAGAAGATGTCTGATTTTGTTGTGATTTTCATGGAAAACATTTTCTTACTAACTTCTTTCCTTAGTTACCTCTTTAGGCATTGGCATTATAGGTTATTGGCATTGGCATTTGCTTACCTCTTTAGGCATTGGCATTATTGTTGTGATTTACTTACCTCTTTAGGCATTGGTATTATTGTTGTGATTTTGTGTTGCTCCACGAAAATATGTTTTGGTGGAGATTCCTCGGCTATTCAAGAACATTTGTCTTCCAAATTTGATGGCATGAGTTTTGCTGATGAATGAAATGCAGCTGCATTATTAGGCAAGGCAATAGTTGCTAAATTAAGATCTAAAGCCTCACCAAAAAATAGAGGACATATACTAGAAGTTTTATCCATTTTATTAGTATTAGCATATAGGTGATCATTCCCTCTCTTGATCTTTCTATTTCCCCCCCCCCCCAAAAAAAAAAAAAGAAAGAAAGATCTTTCAATCTACTCACATTAATATTTTTAGGAGGGAAAATGATAATTCTCACCTGCTGAATTTCACATTTTAAAAAAAAAAAAAAAAAAAAGGAGTAGTCTATAGGCATTAAATTTCATACTGAACACACACATGATAGTCTCACATGAACACTCACATTTGCTGTTGGTTTTCTTTATGCTGAGAACACGCACATTTTGAGAAGTCATTTTTTTGACACTTTGGTTGATATTGCTTCCCAGAAGTCCAACATCCCTACTGTTTGGATAGGGGATTTTAATGTTGTTAGGTTCTATCATGAAAAAGTTGGGGGGTCTAATACTTGGTCTAGTGCTCAAGAGTTGTTCTATACCACCCTCCTTCAAGCTTCTCTAATAATAGACTTAAAAACTTACTTTTAACCAAGTGAGTTTGGCTATGACTTATTTTTTTAATTTTTCGATTTTTCATAGAAAGATATATAAAAAAAGTGGAGAGGTGATATAAAAAAATATACTAATAAGTCAATAAACAACTCATTTAGCTTGTTGTCAAACTTACTGAATCATTAATTATTATTATTTTTTATTTTAGTTGCCAAGCATTTCACATTTTTTAGCTACACTTTTCACTATGTTTTTTTTTTAAAAAAAATATTATTATTATGTCAAAATGGCCTATTTTAGAAAGTACGTAAAAAACAGTTAATTTATTAACTTTTTTGAGTCAAATCATCTCTTTATTTTTTTTTTTGCACGTTTTTAAAAATAAAAAAAATTGGTCAAAAATTAACTTTTAATCTACTTTTCAAAATAAGCCACAAGTGGTACAATCAGATGAAATAAGAAGTTATTTGATAAATCCAATCATATAATCATCTTGTCTTTAGGGGGGAAAAAAAATCTAGGTTGTGACAAAATAAACATTTGTTTTTAAATTTTATCAATTTTAATTTTAATTTTTTTAAAAAAAATTATCTAAATTATTTGTCTATTTTAATTAAAAAAAATTAATCATTAAATTCAAAAAAAATTGTATTTTAAATATTTTATATAATTTTTCTTAAAAACAAAGTAGCTATGTGTACTCTTGTTATTTAGAAAGCACCCTGTGTTTCACATAACTCAAACTTACTAGATAATTTCTCAAGTAAAACATCTTTTTTAATGATAGATCTCATTATTAAAGAGAATCTATTATTAGTTTATGTAATTGATTACTTATTATTGTTTATTTCATAGCACACAAATGATGAGTGAATATTGAAGTAGTTTTCATCTAAAGAACAATTAATCACACCATATATGTTTCACAAATGTTTATGACAACAAGAAGATTGAAATATAGACAGACATGAGAGAGATTTTCACCTTTTCTTCAATAAACTTAGTCCAAAAACGAACCATGGCAATCTCATAAGGGTCCTCAGGCAAAATAGGGTTGTTTTTCCAAACCTCGTCGAGGTACTCCATGATGACAATGGACTCACAGATAATCTTATCGTTGTGAATGAGGACTGGGACTCTTTTAAAGACAGGGTTGCAAGTGAGGAGGAGATTGCTCTTGTTGACGAGATCTTGTTCTAAGTATTCATATTGGATGTTTTTGAGGTTGAGAGCCCATTTTACTCTATAGACAAATGGGCTGACCCATGAACCCAACAGCTTCACCTCTTGCCCCTCTGCCATGTATGATGATTTTGTTTTGTGATTTTATGACTTGCTTCTGCTCTTGTTATATAGAATACAGAAGGGGAAGAGAGAGAGAGAGAGAGAGATGTGAGTGTGAGTGTGAGTGTGAGTGTGAGTGTGAAAGGAAGAATTTCTTGTTCCCACATCATCAATTTTTTAGTCACTGGATGGGGTCTCATATTTGAGTTCAGATCTCACCGGTCCTTCCTTTGGGACGGTTCAGATTAACCCACGTTACCCCACTAAAAATTTGTGACTTCAATTAATTAAAAAAAAATTCAAAATTCCCTCTGAGACTCTCTCTCTTCCTCCCTCATTGACACACCCACGTCACACACTTAAGCCTCATTTAGAAACAGGCTAATTTAGTAATTTTTTGACTATTTAATTAAAATATAAGTTAAAAAAATTAGTATGTTTGGGATGACTTTTTGACTTTTTACGAAAAGATGTGCAAAAAGTAGAGAAAAAAGAGAATCTTTGACTTTTTTGGGTCTCATGTGGGTCCTACACCCATGTGAGACATTTGATAAAATTTTTAATAAAATTTTTGGCACCTTAATATGGGTCTCATGTGGGTCCTACACTCATGTGAGGCATTTGATAAAATTTTTAGTAAAATTTTTAGCACCTTTAGGATTTTTGTTTTTTAATCACGGGATGAGTCTCATATTTGAGTTCAGATCCTCTGTGGTCCTTTTTTCGGGGACGGCACGTTATCCCACTAAAAATTTGTGACTCAAATTAAAAAAAAGAATAATGCTTGGGACCCCCTTTTGGGGGTCACCCCTCACTCCCTTTGTCACGTGGCGGGTGGTGATTGGAGGAGCAGGAAAAAAAAGAAAAAGAAAAAGAAAAAGTAACCAATGAGAGAGAGGGGGTCAAAGGGGGTGGGGGAAAAGGGGGATGAATCATTGTTGAAAAAAAAAATTCAAAATTCCCTCCGACACTCTCTCTCTTAGTGGCATGTTTTGTAGGAGGGAAAAGGAAAGAAGACAGTGAATGTTATATTAAAATTGTGCGCCTAATGAACCTTAATGTGTTGCTTTAGAAACACTTGAAGTAATATTCTGATATGTACACACTGTTTCCATTGATTCCAAGCAAGGTTGACAGTGTAGTACATTCTGGTCTTCCTTCGTCCTAGTAAAGCTGAGACGGGGGCAGAGTTGCACGGAGAGGCTAGGGTGGTAGTGGCTACTACACTGCTTGCATAGAGAGGGGCAGAGTTGCAAAATGTCTTAAACAAAGTGATCTAATACGCAACAAGGTAATTTGTTCCATAACCTTTCTACCAGTCTAATAGATTTGAATGCATAAGTGAGAAATTGACCAATATATTTGGGGAAAAGATTGAGACCTACATTTTAAGTCTCATAATCGTATCGACAATGACATGACAAGTTATGTGTTGACTCTTTGATTTGTTATAAATTTAATCATATACCAAAGTGTGATGAAACTAAATAATTTCCCAAGTGTTGTGCATGTATTGCCATGCTCATTAAACTAAATAATTTATATAAATGGAAGAAATTATGTTGCAAGATAACTGATGCCATGATTTTGTATTAAAATTTCCACTTACAAAAAATGATTTGAGTATTAAATTTTATACTCAACTTAGACTTTTATATGCAAGTTGTCAGCTCTTGTTTAGTGATAATTTCCCAACTTAGACTTTTATACTATTTGTTTCCTTCCTTTATTGCCATTTTGCTTTTACCTTTTGAGTAATTAACATGATGGTTCACAATATGAATTGTACATAATGTGGAATTAATATGATATACAGATATCTCTTTGCACTCATGTTATTTCAGTTTGTTTACATGATTGCTTATGCACTTATGATTCATACATCAATAACTTGGGCCCCCTTTTTGTAATCTTATTAATACCCCCATCAAACTTAATAGTAATTTGAATTTGGGCATATCATGCTTTCTTTAATAAGCACAATAAATAAATAAATAGTTACATTGCCAATCTTCTAGCTTTCAGCTACTTCTGTGCATTCACAGCGGCAGCAAAGTTTATTTATTTTATTTATTATTATAAAACTTATGTGCTTATAACTCTTTTTATTTGACTAATATATAAAATAATATCATGAACATGTGAATGGAAAACCTTGATGTGGATCCTACAGAATAGAAACCAAAATGATTTACAAAATTTTCTTATACATACTGACAATGAACTCAGCGAACATGTGACAAAATTAACTAAATAGTTAAAGAGAGCAATGAATTTAAAGGGTATGGACAACTGAAGTACTAAATTAACCCCATGAAAGAAGAAATTATTTTAAAAAGTACGTATAAGACTCTAATATGTAAAAAGTCATGACTGAAAGAATGGTTACAATAATTGTCAAGCTTTTTGTGTCCAACTTCAACGAAATCCAACGTCAAAGGAAATAAAATGCAGAAGTTTGATTACATACGAATAAAATTCAAAAAATAAACAACTACCTTCCATGCCCGCAATGGAGAAACATATACATTATGTATTGCAGATACTTTTTTTGGAGATATATCAGGAAGACTTTTTCAATGGTGATATCGTAGGTCATCCAGGTCATTGACCTACTTGTAGCAAGATATCAATAAAACAAAATAAAATAAAAAAACAACTAACAAGGGGAAAATAAATAAATAAACGGAGCATACCATCAGTGCTATTGTTAGTTTCTGAATTTCGGTTTTTTGAAGCTGTTCCAAAAAGGGCAAGCTCCACAAGTATTGGGTTTACAGCAGGAACAAATATTTCATTGTATTTTATTAATTATATCAACATGCTCCTGCCCTGTTCTCTATTTTCAAAGTAATCTAAAGGATTTGAATAACCTTTGCTTGTGTGCTCCGTTTTGCTGGGTTTGTCTTTGCTCTGCTTAGTTGGTTTGCTGCTGTGGTGGGGTGGGTATGGGCTATTTATGCTTTGTTTATTGTTCATGTTTTGGTTGATGTTGGTGATGGTTGTTGGGTGGAGTTTAATAGGTCTATGGGGTGTTTGGTTTTTGGTTTATTCCAAACAATGGTAGTTTGGTGTTTTGATTCTTTGGGAGAGGGGGGGGTTTCTCGCCTTTTCTTCTTGTTGGGTTTGGTTTCTCACCAACCCTTGGGATCGAGCTTGCAGATGATTGGACTCTCTGCTCGGTGCCAACCTAGTTGGAATTAAGTAGTTTGCGATGATGCTTTGTGCTCTTTACATAAAGTTACAATTATATGTCTCCCTCTAAGATGCTTTGTGCTCTTTACAAATTAGTATAATGTTTGTTAAATATAAATTAATCTTGCACCAACACTAGCAAATGCCCCTATTAATTAATATAGAATTGAAGAATCATATTAAGGGTATATATTTGGAATACTACTTAGAAGGAACAATCAACCCTTGTAATTAAATTAATTATTTTGTAATATGAAAATAAATTTGTTCACACTTTTTTAGTATATGAACAATACAAAATATAATTATAGTTGAAATTTAGTTTCTCTTTACATAATGATACAATTATATGTCTCCCTCTAAGATGACTTCACATAGAATTGTTCATGTATGCCACAATTGTTCATGTATAGTTGAAATTGTTATTACTATTTCGTTCACTTCATTATTGCAATGCTAATCAAACCCTTAAACTTACTTAAGCTCTCTTCCAGTACAGCGTGTTTTTCCAAGTTGTCATCCATTCCCAGGTTCATCTTTGCTTGATGTGTACTGTTCCAATAATGGACAAGAGTTAGATAATGATCAAAGATAGGCTAAAAAGTAAAGAGTATCTAGAAGGTGCTCAGTCATTTATTGAGTCCGCTACGAAGAATTTAGGGCCGCAAATGAAATCGGTTGTCCTTGTGTTGATTGCTTGAACGGCACGAAATTTAGTCTACACATTGTACGGTTGCACTTGATTCGAAGAGGAATCGCATGTTCTTATCGAACTTGGGTCCACAACGGGGAACATGTTCCCATGTTGTGTGCTTATCCTACTATGCGAAACGATGATGAAAGCCACCGAGCTGGAATGACAACCAATCACAAAAATGTGGATGAACTTCCAACCATGTTAGAAGAGATTTACATGAGTGGTCTCATGGATGATCATATCGATGATGAACGTACTAGTTCAGAGAGGCACAATTTGTTGAAGTTCATGAAGTTGTTCGCTGATGCTCAACGCAAAGTATATCCAGAGTGTGAAAAGTTCTCCATCTTGTCCTTTGTAATTAAGATGCTTCACATGAAGGTGTACAATAAATGGAGCAACAAATCTTTCGATATGGTTATGCAAGTTTTCAAAGACATTCTACCAAAGTGTGATGAAAATGTTCCATGGACCCTTTATGAAGCGAAAAAGTTCTTACGTGAATTGGGTTTGGGATATGAGGTCATTCATGCATGCAAGAATGATTGTACTTTATTTTGGAAGGACACGTTGGAGAATTGCCCTACATGTACGGAGTCTAGATACAAGTTGAATGACAAGACGGGTAAGAAAATTCCACACAAAATACTGAGGTACTTTCCTTTGACACCGAGGTTGAAGAGATTGTACATGTTGAAAAAAACAGCCGCACATATGAGATGGCACAAAGATAAGCGTGTAGATGATAGAGTATTACGACATCCAGCTGATGGTGAGGCATGGAAGGACTTTGATAGGCTGCATCCTACGTTCTCTGCGGATCCTCGGAATGTAAGGCTTGGGCTTGCCACGGATGGTTTCAATCCATTCGGAAATATGAGTACATCGTACAGCATGTGGCCCGTAAGCTTAATGCCTTACAATCTACCTCCATGGAAGTGTATGAAAGATCCATTCTTCATGATGTCATTGCTTATTCCCAGACGATCTGCACCTGGAAGAGACATCGATGTTTACTTGCAACCATTAGTAGAAGAGTTAACTAATCTGTGGGAGGAGCATGGTGTGCAAACATATGATGCCTCAAACGGCCAAATATTTACAATGCATGCAGCAGTCATGTGGA